TGCACTCTTTTTTTACAAATCTGCAGGAAATTGTGATACTAACCCAAATGCTACACATCTCCACTGGTTTGAATGCTCTGTAGGAAAAGAAGGGCAGCCTCCTCCTGTCTCAATTTACAGCCTCGGAAAACCCAGTGGAGAGTTGCTATCAGAACAATGTGACAACCATGAGGTTTTAAGTATGATGCTTGCAAAGCAAGATGAGAGGCAGCTACATAATCATGGAATTATCTCCCATATGTGATGTGACATTCAGGTGGATAGACTCAAGGTCATATTCTGGTTTTTGTGGATTTAATTTTCCTTAGCTTTGGCTTGAACTTGCATATGAGTAGTTGGTGGTCTGTTCCACAATCATCACCTAGCCTAGTTTTCACAGCTGATATTGAGCTTCTCCAGCAGTTCTTTTCACAGATGTAATCAGTCTGAATCCTATGCATACCCATCAGGTGAAATCCATGTGTATAACCTGTGTTTATGTTTCTTATAAAATGTATTTGCAATGAGTAAGTCATTGATTGTGCAAAATTCAATCATTCTATCTCCAGCTTCATTTCTGTCACCAAGTCCATGTTTTCCAACTATATGTGATCTGAGATATGATCAGCCAATTAGTTACATAGGGAGTAGAATAAGACACAATATCTTTAATTGGGTCCCAGCCCTGATCTGATGGAAAGGATGCTTCCCTGAAATGTGGCCTCTATCACTTTTTGTCTTACAAGAGATGAGATGTTAAAATGTGAGCAGAAAGAGCAACATCACCAAGAAGAACCAGGAGTGAAGTTTGTTCTTTGGGCTGAAGTACCTGGGCTAGGGCATTCTTGAGGCAGGAGATAGAGAGATAGAAAACTTTCTCTTAAGAGGCAGCACCCTGAATTTGGACTTCAAGCCTCCTAATCTGTGAAAGAATAAATCTGTTTATTAAAGCTATTCACTTCTGTATCTCTGTTAAAGCACCACTGGATAACTGAGACCTCCTCCTAAGAATTCCTGGCCTCCGGTGTTTCCATCATTCAACTAAAATTAATGTCAGAAGGATCTACTTGAATTGTACTTTTCCATGCCTCTGTCTAGGTCTGGAGAGCCCTTCCCTCCTCTTTCACTGGATATCTTAGTCATTCCTCTTCAGATTGAACCCCTTCTTAAAAATTTCTCCCTCTGGGTTTCCACAGAATTTGGGGTGATGGAATTATGCCTGCTTTATCCATATCTCAGAAGCTCATACTTGGAAGGTCTAACTTGTGGCAGTTGTTCCATTAAAGTTAGTTGAGTAAAATGAAGCCAATCAGACCATATGCAATAGGTATCTTAAAAACTCTTCATTTAAAACAAAACTACAAAAACAGTTTAAAATTCAATTTGCACTACCAGAGTTTAAATTCTTTTCCCAACTTTGACCTTTGGAATGAGTTATGTCCTATCATTAAAACCAGCAATAGTATCAGCAGGAATTATTTCTTACTAGTTTACAGAAGTAGAATCAGTGCCTTTGAGTGGTGGTACTGAAGAAGAGTATTGAACATACATTAGAATGCCAAGAAAACAAACAGGTCTGTCCTGGAGAGGATAAAATCAAGTTGCTCCGTGGAAGTAAGGGTACTGAAACTCCATGTCATATAATTTGGCCATGCTTCCAGGAGGGGCCAGTCCTTAGAGATAGATATTATGCTTGGAAGATCAGTGTAAGAGAGAAAGACCCTAGATGAGATGGGTTGACCCAGTGGCTTTGACAATGGGCTCAGGTGTGTTAAGAGATGGTGAGGGGGAGCTCTGGTGGCCTAGTGGCAAGAAGCTGCAACTACAATCCCAGAGGCTC